TCTCTCTCTCTCTCTCTCTCAAATACGCACATGCCCTCTATATATAGCACTGATCAACATCTTTGTGGCATTCTACGTAAATATCAAAGCAGGAGACTGTTACCTGCAATGATACTTGAACACTCTTTAAAGGACACATGTATACACATGTTGGATAAATATGCAAGTACACAAAAATATACGCTCATTCAAACACACATACACACGCACATACATACACACACACACACACACTCACACATACACACACACATACACACACACATACACACACACACACACATACACACGCACATACACACACACACACACACACACACACTCACTTGTAATTCCTGGTTGCCACAACAAGTGCCATTTAGGTAAGCTTGACTAAAAGGGTCTTTCCCACCAACAAACCCTCACATACATAAAGTCTAATAGAGCTTTCGATTTTGCTTGACTTGTTTTCTTCTAAACTTATTTCACTCACCGCCCGATAGTGGTTAATAGTTAGCCCAAAATATGCACGTGGATGGTTGGCAGGTGCTCTGATGTGGTTTTCTCCTTCTTTCCTATCAAACATCGATCATCCTTGTTTCTCTTCCTTTTAACTGTATATTACTCTCCTGTAACACATCTAATTCATGGCACTTGTATGACCTATTTGTGTTGCAAGTGCCCTAAAACACGACTAAAACTACTAAAACTTGACTATTAAAACTAAACTAAACTAAGTAAACGTGTGTGTAAATGTGTGTGTGTGTGTGTGTGTGTGTGTAAATGTGTGTGTGTGTGTGTGATATGTGAGCCTTATCTCTCCTCCGTCTTTTAATTGTGTGTTACTCTCCAGTGACACCTCTAATCTTCAAAACTTGTAGGACCAAATTGTGTTGCAAGTGCCATAAAACTCTAACTAAAACTAAACTACTACCCAAAAAGAATATGAAAAATCCTACTAAAACTAAACGAAAAAAACAAATATGCGTGGACTCATCTCTGCGACTGACTTTCCTGAACTCTGTGCCTTGTGTCTCCAGCGTGTGATGACCCTGAGAACAATGACTCCCTAGGGATCTGTAAGATCTACGCTGCCTGGCTGGCGCCCTTCCTCATGTTTGTCTTCCTGCTGGTGGCCAACATCCTCATGGTCAACCTACTCATCGCCAGGTTCAAGTGAGTCCTTTTGGTTTTTTACTATTGTAATGTTGAAGCCGGGAGAGAAGTCCGCAAGCTGTGTATATCCACAAGTGAAAGTGGACCTTCTAAATGCTCAGAATGTGGCGAGTTTTTCTTGGCAGAGCGGCAAGTCATCTTAACCTTTAATTTTTCTTTCTATTTGGCTTAAGAAATCTTTCCTCTGCAGGTACATTGATTATCATGAAACATTGGCAAATGAATTATTATTGTAGTTACACAGTCTGTAGCTCAACAGATGAAAACAGTGAAAGTATTGGGAGTCTTTGTAGTATTGCACATAAGTTGACTGCTTTAAGATGTTCGTCATTATTTTTTTAATCACTTGTGAGACGTATTCAGACTCCCTCCTCTTTTTTTCTTATTTTTATCATCAGTCCGAGGAAAATTATACTTGCTTTAGGCTCTGCTTTTTAAGCATTTTTTTATTTTCTTTTCACAGTGCTACTTTCATCCGGAACAACGCCAACTCTAAGGAAATTTGGATGTTCCAGCGATATGGGCTCATACTGCAATATGAGGTGCGACCCATCCTGCCCCCTCCCTTCATCTTGATCACCCACATCTACCTGGCTTTCAAGTACATCAAAAGAAGATGCAAAGGAAAGCGAGACTTCTATGACAATGGATTGAGTATGTTGACGACTCTTCATTTTATTATACTATTTTTATCTCTGTTTGCTTTTTAATAGTTTCTCACAGTTTGTTTGGGGTGGGGGGGGTATGAAATGTTTTACTTTGTCTCATATTCGCAGAGCATGAGGCTTTAGAGTGTAACTCGAATTCAGTTGGTTACAAATGTTTTGTCATTAGGAAGTAAATCTTATTGATGGGAACATATTGTTTCTGTGTTGTATTGTCTGGAAGTGTGTTTAAAGACGAGGGTTTTTCAAGAGTTTTTGTTCTTGGTTGAATGGAATGGAAAGTCTCCACCAGATGAACTTGAAAATGATTCCATATGGAACATTAAACACATCTCTCTCTATTTCTCTCTCTCTTTCTCTCTCTCTCCCTCTCTCTCTCCTTCCCTCCCCCCTCTCTCTTTCTCTCTCTCTCCATCTTTCCCTCTCTATCTCTTTTCTCTCTCTCTCTCTCTCTCTCTCTCTTCATCCTTCACTCTCCCTCTCTCTCTCTCTCTCTCTTCATCCTTCACTCTCCCTCTCTCTTCTCTCTTTCTTTCCTCCTCTCTCCTCCTCTCTCCAAAATACACTTATGACAATTCCCTCTGTAGATTTGTTCACCATCTTTGTGACACTGTACAGTAAAAAAAACAGGAGACTGCTGCACTGACAATCACACACTCTTGAAATGACACATGCACACACATGGTGGCCAAATATACACATGCACAAATTCTCTCATTCACACACAGATGCACACTCTTCCTGGCATGCACTCTCACTAACACACAAACGCGCTCACATTGATGCTGTTGTATTATTCTCTACTGCTTTCCTGTTCGCACATAACATTGTGAGTAGTTGGCGGGTGCTCTGGTGTGGTTTGCTCCATCTTTCATATCAAACTTTTATCGTCCTTATCCTCCCCTCCTTCTATTTTGTGTTTGCTACTCTCTTGTAACACCTCTAATCTTTGGCACTTATATGACCTTATTGTTTTGCAAGTGCCGTAAAACACTTACTAAAACAAACCAGCACATAGTATTGTTGTTACATTCTGTAAAAGCAAAGTAGAAGCCAAATTTATTACAGTTACATTTGTCTCTATTTTGTCTGTTTTCTTCAAGAGGTCTCCAGGTTCTCAGTTGACATAATTCCCTCTGGGAAGGTATTCCTCTTTGATGTAGACGGATGATATGGCCTGATCATCAAAAACTTGAACAAACAAACAAAAACCATGACAATTTCATCTCTACAGAGTTGTTCTTGTCCCATGAGGACACTGAGAAACTTCACGACTTTGAAGAGGAGTGCATGGAAGATCTTTATCGCGAGAAAGATCTCAAGTTCCACAACTCCTCCGATGAACGCGTGAAGATCATCAATGAAAGGCAAGTCCTCTTTGATGTAGTGATAAGATTCTTTTTTAATAAGTCCCTCATTTGTCTCTTGCCTTGTAGAGGTTCATTATGATGTACATGTCTTCTGTCATAGTTACTACTTGTCAGTTTTGCTACCTCCATGTAGTTGGTAAGATAATGAGTCAATCATTTTTCAGCTACAATGACAGTCTGTGCATTTGTCATTTGCTGTGTAATCTTCTTTATCTCACAATTTTGTGAGTAATATTTCTATGGACTGATACGTTTTCACATTGTTCATAACTTAAAAGTTAACGGTATGCGACTCTTGTTGAAACAAAATCCCTTTTTTTTTTCAGAAAGACTTAATTCAGTGAAGTGATGATTTGTTGTATTATTTTATTAGTCAAAAGAGGAATTACTATTAATTATATTAAAGTATTGATCTTTTTCACAATAAAATTAATCATTTTGTTTCTGAAGCTTTGCTTTGACCAACTCTCTCCTCTTCTTAGCCCTCTTACTACCATTTCACTTTGTTTATATGCATGGCCTTTGCAGCTGCCAATATTTTCTTGGTGGTAGATAGAGAAGACACGAAAATTGAAATATGTCAGTGGCAATGGGTGAACGACAAAGAGTCCAATGACAAATAGTATGTATGTGTCTGGCAATGTAACACATGAAGAACTTCAGTTTGAAATGTTCTCATGTGTCCCATTTGAGCAAAGGGATTTTTCCAATTCAGATGTTTCTGTAGCTGGCACACACAAAATGTATCCATAACTGACTATTACTGTAACTGCTATTTTGACAGTGATGTAAACCGTTTTGAAAAATGATGTACATTGACAGTTAAAACTTTTCTGTATGGTTTTGTCCTCTCCCACATGGAAGCCTTCAATGACGTTATGTGAACTCGCTTGGCGTGCCACTTTATTCCAATTTGATATTTCAGTCTAATAGGGAGACAACATCTGCCCCAGCCTAGCTACGAATTGAAATCAAAACTCTTCAGTTGTTTTCCAATGCTTTACTGCCAGACCAATGTGCCCATTTAATATTAAAATGTATTATTTTGATGTGTGTTTTCAACCTCTCAGAGTGGAGAACATGTCACTACGTCTGGACGACATGAATGTGAAGGAGAACCACCTCCGGCTAACCCTGGCCACACTTGACCACCGCATGAGTCGTATAGACGAGGTGGCTGACAGTTTGGTGCATGCTGTCAGGCTTTTGACCAGGGCCACAAGAAATGACGATATGGGTAGTCAGGAGTCTCTAGAGGTCAGTGGACTAGAATGGTGTTCAGGAAGACCAGGCCATAGGCCATTCTTTCATAATACAATCAACCCAGCAATTCTAGAATTTTCACTTTATATTGTCGTAGTCTTATACATCACTAATATTTTTACTTTCTCTGTCATGAATTCAAAATGCGATGTAAAGACTTTGTACACTGATTTAGTTTTCTTACACTGGGTATTACAGGATAGTCGAAGAGTTTGTTTTGACCAATCAGATATTATTATTTTGAGCTTTCCCAAAAGACATGAATTCATTTTTGATCATTCCAACAGGGCAATAACGGCAGAATTGATGTAAGGACTTTGGTTTTATTTTACATTTTATATTGTAAGTCTATGGCCTTCATAAAGTCTCTGTGACATATTATGACTATTGTTTTGTAATGACTTTTGCATTTCTATTCCTATTGCTTTTGAAACAAGTAATTCAAGGTTTTTATTTCTGTTGACACAAAATATGATTATCAGCAGGACTGCAATTTTACTCAAAATTCACACTGCATCACTGCCTGATACCATATTTCTCAACTGGAAGGTTTGGATTTCAATATGTCTGTCACAAGTAAGATCATTCTTTGTATCTTTCTAAAAACTAAATTATGCTGACCACTGGGTTGTGTCTTGAATTTGTGATTTTGAACATTCTGACTTAATGATCTATAGGGTGGTTAGAGGGGGCCATTTATAAGTTGTACTTTTTTACTATCCCTCTGCTGTTTCTGTCTGTCTGTCTTTCTTTTTCCTAACGCTAAATAACAGTTATTGTGTCATTGAGCTTGTCTTTTACCAAAACAAAAAAACTAAAACTTAACTGATTCCGTCCATGATTTTTTCAGGCTCTGGACAGAATTATTTTTCCCTGTTCAGTTTTAGACCTGGGGTGCATCTATTTAATGCATTACTGTGAAGCTCTAAGTTACTCTAATATGTATTGTCATATACCAAACTGATGGGAATAAATAGAGGGATGTGTTTATATCAATAACAATGACCTATAATCTGTTTGTATTGCATTTTCCTTCTGACAAAAACGAGAGAAAAAAATTGCGCAACAGCTCTTTGAAAATTTCGACTTACTGCATTTTCTCAGCTCTACAAGTCCTTATAATCCATAGAAATCAACACAACATTGTAGCGATATCACCCTAGCATACATTTATGCAAGAATTTCACAAATTTAGTTGAATATCTTTCTTTGAAGAGCCTTTTTATTATACCAGGCTCCGTGTTGTTTACCCTTAGATCTAACCTACATCGCAACAACAAAACAACGATTTTTGCAAGAATTTCGCGGAGTTTTGATCGATATTGGCGCTCAGAGATTGAGGTCAGGTTTGTTTACAAGTTCTACTTCCTTTCGACAACTTAAAAAGTAGGAACTTTGTTAAAAAGTGCACCTTTGTTTCGGATTTCGTTGAGCCGCTCACAGCGGCCGAATGGAGGCAGCGGAAAAACTCAGAGCCGCTGTCAGCGGCCGAATGGACGGAATCAGTTAAGGATAACACATTCTTTCTTCAACCTCTGTGCATAACCAACCCATCTTGTGTGTATCCCTAGGATGCACAACAGTTCAACCCTCCTCCGTACAGCAACATGGAAGGTCACCCTCGCACACTGAGCGTCTCCAGCAGTGAACCTGGCGACCGCAACCAGCCTTCCCCGATGCTGGTCCACTCCAAGAATAGGATTCAAACAGATCAGCTGTCTAAGTAAGTGTTTGTTCCTATATCTGCACTGTTTTTTGTGTGTAAAAATCAATATTAATCATCACCGTGGGTGTTAGTATTGCTTACATACTGATATTTTATCGTAGAAGAAACAAAGGAGGCCAACAAGTAAGAGCGGAGTGGTGCCCCTTGAAATCCACTTTCGGATCTAGGTCTCCTGATGACCTGGGTCTTAAACAGAAAACACTGTATTTATATTATGTACATGTATTATGTATCATTTCAGCTGACAGTTGAAAAGTTGAAAAAACAAAAAATTATCAGAATGCCTGTAGTATTTAGCCAAATGCTTTGAATAGTGTTTAGCAAAGGGATGCAGTAATTAAAGGGAGTTCCTTTTTTCTTTTTTCAAATAAGTCTTATGGTACATATGTTCTTTTTGTCACCTTTTTCTGTTTTTCCCTCCTGCAGATTTACAAACTATGCACGACGCAGGCAACTTAGTGGGTCTGAGTTCCCCATAGAGGAGAGTGACCAGTTTGTTGGGGAAGGTCAGTCCCAGAGCGGTGCCCAGGGCTCATCTGGTGTCTCCATAGCCTCTCTCAATCCAGCAGACGATGTACGGTTCTCTATTGGTGCATCAGACATCAACAACAGCAGCAACACTCTCACCACAGACGTGAAGAGACGGTCGGTAGCATCAGTAGATGAAGATTCAGGCTCAGCCAACAGACCAGAAAGCTCAGAAGAGTTGTCTCATAAGCAGAAGATCCGCAACTTTGCCTCGCAGTCGGTCCGCTTTGTGGAGCCTATTGTCCATTCCATCGATGACCGCGATGTGGGGAATACACCACAGCAGCCCTCCATCAATGTGACAGCTCGCCTCGACACAGGCACCCACACAGTATCACAGAAGCGTGATCCGGCCAGCCACACAGAGGGAGCAGATGCTGGAATTAGTGATGGAGGGACACCCCCCGAGGAAGCAGAAGCAAACCCAAAACCACTCCCGCCTGTCCTCCAAATCAGTATACCCAGCGACCCACCCATAGTAGCAGCACCATTATCATCAACATCATCATCAGGCAAAACACCAAGGGCAGGAGGCAAGCTGGCTTTCTCTGGGCAGCCTCTGGTCATGCCTGGATCGATCGCCACCTCCACCTACACACCCATCTCCATGCCTCAGTCATCGGCTTGCTTCACAGCAAACGACGCGGATCTGATCCCACAGTCGGCAGCTAGAGACCTGTCTTCCATGCTGAACCCGTTGATTGGAGAGTACACCAGCATTACTGACACCATTGATACTTCGTGTATCGAGGATTGCTCCCCACCCCGGTCACCGACTTCCTCCTCCGCCATCATGTTCTCGGTGGCCGAGGGGTACCACGAGGTGGAGGCCAAGCTGAAGGAACGATCGGCAGCAGACAACAAGCAGCAGGCCCTGAAGCAGGCGGAGGAGACAGAGCACCAGCGCATGGAGTACCTTATCAGGCACCGGCTACGACAAATCTCACAGGTACATTTACTTCACGTTCTACTTCTTCATGCCTCTCGTTTCTGTGTTTTTTTGTGGCTTCTTCCTAAAACATGGTGTAAAATATGTGTGTTTATTTCATAAGTTGTTATGCTATTCAGTTTTCTTTTGAGTGTGCACACTATGCTGCTCATCAAATTCAAAACCACTCATGGATTTGTATCTAGATCTAGAACAATTGCATTTTGGTAGATTTTAAATTAAGAATAAAGTCATAGCATGCAAGCCGAAGCTTAGACTTTGACAAAGCTACATAATGTGCATTTCTTCTGGTTTTACTTTCTTTCTTTTCCATCATTCTCTCATCCAGAAGAATGCAAGAGAATGGGCTCAGTATCTAACGAAGGTAAAATAGACCATCAATTTGATACTGTTGCAAGCTTTAAACTAACAGCTGAACTTTTTCAGTCACTCAACTGCTGATCAATCTACATCAATATTTTGAACAAGTTTTTCATGTTCATTTGATACACGCTTCTTTTTCCTTTCTTTGACACTCAGCTCACCTGCTCAATTGTATCATTTTAGTGCACAACAATCTACTTTTGAATGAAGCCCTTGGAAATGTCTGTGTTTTCATGCAATCAATAAGACAGTTGGTGTTGGCAGAAATTATGATAAAGGAACTTGGGATCTTACAGATCACAAAAGTCGGGAAATCAAGAAAAGCATTCAGTTGTACTTGGATAGTGTCAATGCATTCCCACCGAAAGTGTCAAACTGTGCTGACAATCATGTTTAATGAGAATACTCATGAAATACAGTTATCAGGTACAATGAATCAAATTCTGAGAACATTACTTATAATTTGTTTTTTGTGATAAAATACATTTTTAGCCTTTTATTTCAAAGATTCTATTTTTTCTTCACAAACAAACAAACCACAAGATTATTTAGGGGGGGGTGTTATTTTTGTTTTGGGTTTTTTTTATATGAACTTGGGTATTTCTTTTCATCCCGTTGCAGATTTATGCCCAATTAAGCCCAATGTGCAACGTTATGTTTCTTTGCCTGCAGCATAGAAAAGATTTCATCCCTTTTATGAAATGTCATTACTGACAGATGAAACTCTACGAAGAAAAATAGCCAAACAGCTTTCATTTGTATGGGAAATTTGTGGGTTTTTTATCTTGTTTTGCATGATTCTTGCACATCTGATATTTTTCAAAGGGATATTTCCTACATTTATTTGTTTATAATGTTTTCTCACCTCCAGCCAGAGTGGTTGATGCTGTTGGGTAGGTGTTTACTTCAGTCATGTGAAAATCTAAGCTCCCATTTGTAAACGTTGCACTGGCAAAGTCCCCAGGGTTTGGTCATAGTTGTCTGTGAGCATGAAACAGCTGAAATGTGATAACTGCGAAAATATATTAACTGGTGGAAGCTGGTAATTATTCCAGAAACAACACAAAGGAGAGATGGTTGATAGAAAATGTTGTATCTCATTTATTATGGAAAATTTGTATTTTTGTCATTCATTTCATGTTGTTGCCTATTTATTTGATCAGTGATATAAATTGAGACCATTAACACATTTAACACCAAAATGTTTGCAGCAATATTTCATTGTTTACATATATTGTGATATCTTCTTAACTTGTTGTACATGATAAAATGTAGATGCAAATACCTACATGGCCTTACTTACAAAGACTAACCATCCTTTCAGTATTCTCACTATGTAAGTAGGCCCCTGTCCTAATGTCCCAAAAAGCATGAGGCTCATGCTTATGGTTGAGGGTTGTTTGCTGATGGATAGAAGGAGAAAGTAGTTACCTTGCATGAAACAGTCTCAAAGGATCATTACGTACTTTAAAGCTGTGACTGAGGGAAAAGCGGTGACTACAAGCATAACTTTTATTTAAGAAATATATCTTTTCAACAGGATGAAAGATTGGCTAAGATCTACTTTAAGGTTTGTTGTAAGGGGATTTATTCATGGGATGACGGTTCATTGATCTAATTTTTAGCCTCTTCATTTTTGTTCTTTTTCCCTTGCAGTAAATATGTACACATGCTCTAGCAACAATCCTTTTGTACCCTCCTGTTCTTGGCACCTGAAGAGATGGAAATTTGTTGTTTTCCCTTTATCCTCTGATCATATGGTTTTCCCTGGTTTCAAGTTGGACGATGCTTCTTTCTGTTGATTTTTAAAGGTTTTGTTATCTCAGGCTGTTGAAAACAGAGCCCTAATATGTACAGGACTATTTGTTTGTTGTTTTGTTTAATACCTGAACCTTTTCTTTCAACGTTCTTTTGCCTTTAATAATGTAATATAGACAGGCAAAGCTTGGTCAATACACTTATCCCTTGATTTTCCTTTAGACATATGTAGACACATTTTTTTAGTGCCCTTGACAAAATTTAAGTTTTTATTTAAAGAGGTCTCTTCCCCTTTTTTTTCCTTTTTTTGGTTTGCTTTTTTTTTGGGGGGATACATTTTTGATTTTCCTCAGCACAACCATCTTTTTTTTTCCTTCTGCTCCCTTTGGATCTGAAGCGCTTGAAGGCTCAATGCATGTCGTCGAAGCTGACAGTTTTCTTTACAACTGCCTTAAGTTTTTTTTCTTTGTAATGTTGACTTCAATTGGTCTTAGTTTGTCATCCATGCTTAGTAACTGAAGCTTTTTCCTTTTACATATGCTCAAAATCTATTTTTTTGTTTCAAATTCAGGACTTCAATTTCTGTTTTAGTTCAAAATGCATGACTTTTTGAAAATTTAATATTATTTGCTTGAAATTTGGGATTCCAGATTAGAATTCATTTATTTTTCTTGGTTCCATTCCCTACACTTGTAGGCCTTCGACCCATATACCTGTGCAGGTGGGCTCACACTGGTGGGCCTACAACTGCACATGCACACTCACTTTCGCTTCATATGCAAACACACCGACACATATTCACACACATACACAAATGATCACATGCATGTACATGAATGAGCTTCTCCTGACATCATTCTCAATCAGGCAGAACTTATTTGACTTCTGATTCATTTCATGAATATTTTTTATGCATGCCCCAAAGAGGATATACTGTTTTCATAGGCCTTGTTCCTTGATTGTTGAAAGGGGGGGGGGAGTTTAAGCTGTCCTTTTCTAGCACGTCTGCAAGAGAACATTTTAAATAAAAAATTGCCTGCCCTTTTCTTAAGGGTTACCTCTGCCCTCTTTTGACAGACATGAGGTTATTTTAACAAGGTCGATGTTGTTATTGATTAAGCAACAGCTGGGCACTCACCCTTCTGTCCAATGACATGTAGTAATAGATGCAGGTTAACCGCAGTTGCTGTAATGTTCCATAGAATGTGTTGTCAATGTTAGGTCTCGGAGGGAGGAGTGGTGAGTGTAGCTTTGTTGTCTTTTAGGTCTGTGCTGTGGATCAAAAACATCAATACCCCCCGAGGCAGTGCCACTGACTGAAGTGTCTTTAGGCTATTCCCAAAGGGGGGACATATCTCGTTCAAGCATAGTAGAATTGTAAATATGCTGACTCATGTCACACTCATTACTGTGCCTGATCTACAACAGGGAACTGCTGCTTTTTCTTTCCGGATCCTCCTCCTTACTATTGTCATTTTCCTCTACTTTTTTTGTATGTTTGTCACTCCCTTGTGACCTGCTATTTCGGGGTGCCTTGATAGTCGAAGCAGACCTTGTGCTGTTGAAGCTAGAGAGGTGAGCAGTCTAAGTCTGATGCCCTGTAAAGACTTCTCTGTTGACACCTACCCCTTGGAGCTCATATGACCTTATGCAGTTGCGAGCGGCGTAAAACCCTCTACTATTTTTAAAAAACGATCAATAATGTTGGTATGTTTCCTCATGCAGCAACAAAAAATATTTTTGTTTCCATGTCAAAATGACTTCTGCATTCTGCTTTGCACTGTAACTATCCAAAAGAGTTGTGTCAAGTAGTCATTATGTATGTGTTTGGGCCATGGGGTTAATTGATGTGTGTGTGTGTGTGTGTCCTATCTTGAATACCGGTATGTACTGAAGTGTTTATTTTTTCTATGAAAGAGAAGCCCAGAGAGGGAGGGACAAGGGAAGCTTTTTTTTTGTTTTGATTTTACACATCGTCAGATACAATTCTGTTAAATTCCTGCTTATGATCTTTTAAGTTCTTAATTCATTTTTTTTCTCAGTCCTGTGTTCCACCATGCTCACCTTGATGAGAGGCCCTAATTCACGATGTCGTATTTTCAGGACGAAAGCGGCAGCATCAGCGACATTGCGAGGGTGGTGGTGGCCGAGCTGGCAGCAGAAGACAAGAAACTGGACGAGTCGGAGGAGTCGGAGATAGCAGAAGCAGAAGACATAGCAGTGGCAGCGGGCCAGGTGAGGACACTGTACTGCTGGTGGATCCGTGGGGTCTTGTTTGTTGATGGGGTTGAGCTCACCTCACAGCGTTGGTAGCCTTGTGGTTAGCTCTCTAACTTGCAACCGTTAGTTTGTGGGTTCTAATTTCGACAGGGGCCTGACATTTTGTCCTTGCGAAAGGCACTTTACACAAATATTCCTCACTTTACCCTGGTGGAAATGGGTACCCTGCTATAGACAGTGAAAGATCTTGTCAGTTTGTTAGTGTTTGAGCTCTTAATAAGATGCTTGTGCTGTATGCTTCCCGAGAAGCTGAGAATGTTTCTGAATGTTCTATGGTCTGCTGGGGTAATAGTACTGTGGTGTAAAGGGCATAGAGCTTGCTGTCGAGCAGGGATAGGCACTGTACAAGTGCTATTTCTTATTATTGTTATCCCATAGAGATGTTGGGGATGTCTGGTCATGGATTGTAATCGTTAGGCCAAATCTGTGTAAATGTAACTTAACCCCAAGATACTAAAAAAGCTCCCATCAACAGCTCTCAAACTTCATTACCACCTTACTGAATGAGGCAGTTTTTTCCCTCTCCTGTCATTCTGGAGCTGACCACTTTATGGCCATAACCAGTGTTGTGTTCTCCTCTGTTATTTCTATCAGTCTTGATTCTTTTCCGAGGACTATAATATGATTATTAGCAAAATGGTTCTCTTTCATAAACAAATTTGTTTGGTTTGAGATTTACATCTGCCATATCCCCTTAAGTCTAACTTATACTTCAAAGATACCACTCATTGAATTTCACAGACATAGACAGATAACGTCCTCTTTCAATCTGGACAGTAATTCCAGCTCAGACATTTCTTTTATCGCTCATCATGACTTTTCAGTGACTTAAATAACAGGATAAATGTTATTTTGTACAATTTCTGAAAATATCTTATACTCTCATTATCTATTTTGGAGACTACTCTTAGTGCCAGCAGTTTTCATTATCAATAATGTGGAGAGAGATCATCTAGACCGTTTACCTGAAAAAGACTTGACAGGATTAGTAAAATCAGAAAAACAAAATGTACGTGCATTGAGGCTCTGAAGAAAATCAAAGAAATGTTTTGGTCTTTATTTTGGTGGTGGGGGGGTTACTGTTATTTTCATCCATTTGATGTTTATGATCTTATGCACGTCAGATACATGTTTTCCATGGAAAAGAACATGAAATGACCCTGCCAATCATCAATAACATACGGAAAAGAATGGTAGAACCTGTCTTATGAATGGACTTCATTATTCCAATTTTCCTTCCCCTCACTGCATCTGGCTAATGCAGATAGCAATGTGAAATGCTCTGGTCTGTTCCCCAGGAGAGCAGCGAAGAGGGTCAGGAGATGGAGGCCAGTGGCTCCTCTCATCAGGAGGTCGGATCTGGGACTCCCGGCCAGCGGCAGGACTCCAGCGACTTGGAAGAGGAGGCTACGGAACAAACTCGACTACTTTTCCGAGACCGCGTGCGAATTCGCATCTCCCAGCCCAGTCAGGACACGGGTAAGACGCTCTTGATTGCAGAAGACACTTCGGATAGTTCTGGATAGGTTGTTATTTAGAAGTAATGTCTTACGAGGATAGATATTATGATATAATATGTGTTACGGCGTGCTGGAATCAGGCATTCGTCAATTTTTGAGCTTGTGGAGATATTGGTATCATCTTACAGCTTGTTCAGTTGTCTTGCTATCAGTGAAAAAAATGCCCATCTATCTTGGATGGAAGTTGAAATATTTGAGATTAAAGAAGGTGAGGTTGCTTGGTTTCAAAGGTAGAATCAGCGAGAAAATGGCAGTTAAAGTTTGGTTGTTTCCAAAGCTTGACAGTCTGTGAAAACTGAAAACTTACATTTTTTGTGCTTTTAAGCAACGTTTTTCAGTAAAACCCACCTAGAAATGTGTTCTTAATTGAACAACAGTTGTATTAAGCCAAAAAATAAAAATTCAATAAAAATTGCCAAACTTGCTGAAAAATGACAGTTTCTTCAATTTCATTATTTTGACGAGCACCTGATTTCACCAAGCTGCCTCACATATACAGTACAGTCTGCTTAAACCAACATGTGTATTCGAAAACAGCAGTACGCCAAAGGAAAATAGAATCCCCTTTTTTTTTCTTTGCTGTGTGAGTAATCTCTCTTCTCTCTAAACTGAAAACATGGCTAAACAAAAAGAAAACCCTGCAGTCCAGCAGATTTAAGTTAAACAGACAATTTGTTATGACCTTAATCAACACACAGGACTTGAAAAGTTTGAATGCATGTGTAACCTGAAATCTTCTCACCCTTTTAACTGTTTCATGTGAGTCAATTTTCTGAATGCTTTCTGCTTTCAAAATTATATTAAAAAAGATATATGTTTAATCAGGCATTAAGCTTCAATTCTAAAGGTGGCTTACAAATGTGGAGCACAAATGGGTTATTTAGACTCAAGTGTTATCTTCTCTCATGATATGTTTAAATTTTAGTGCAGCATGTGAGTTAATCTTCCCTTGGTTACTTCTTTCTGTGGTTAACAATAAGGCAAATACTTGTATTCCCTGAAATATACTCTACTTTCTATCCATCACTCCCCCCCCCCCTACCCTCCCTTCTTGTTGCATGTTTTTCCCCAGGGTAAAGTATGGTACTCACTTCTAGTTTCCATCACATTTCACCTTGTTAAGAATTGTTTCAAGAGTTTTAGTCATGTTGTATCTATTTGCATTAGAAATCTGATTTAGCGTCCTGTCAAAAATTTATATCATTCTTTTACACATTTCATCTTGTTTCATGCTCATCTCTTATGTCTTTAGTTTTCTTCCCTGTAAGTTATACCTAAAATGTTTTCAAGTTAATCCATTTTACAATGATCATTTTCCCATGGACAGCATCAGGCGACAGTCAGTCTCTCTCCAAGTTCCCGTGCTGAATGATGGGGCTCATCGACGGCACTCGGTGACCTTACCTGTGGCCCCGATCTACGAAATGGAGGATGCAGACGACGCACAAGGGCCTCACCAGCTGGACATCAACTTTGAACTTGTCAGACAGGGCAGCTCTGGGTGGAATTGTGGAGGTCCCAGCTCACCAGTTCTACCTGACCCTGATGTGGGTAAAGACGAAGAAGAAGAAGAGGAGGAGGAGGTTGATGATGATCTGGAGGATGTAGAGGATATCCCCGACATTGCTGGTGCTGACATTGACATCACTGTCACTCCCCCTTGATGCTTGTTTTGAGGATACTGTTGAAAAAAAGAAACGCAAAAGCCTGTACTGTAATGATTTATTTTTTTATGTGCTAACATACAGATTGAATTAAAAACGAGGTTGTTCCTCTCGCCTATATTTTAGACTCAACACTTTCTGGTGTTTTTCCCATTTAAAAAATGAGTCAAGCACTGTTAAAGGAGGAAAGAGACTATGGGCAAAAATATGCATTTCTTTTTTTGAACTGCCTATATGAAAACTGGACTGAAGCCCTTCCTTTGGAAGAGGATACATCCCAAAAATAAGATCTAGTCTGTTCCACCATTGCAATAAGAATTGTTTGTTTTTTTCGATTTAATATCCTTGCAATAGTTTTAAAACTTTTTAAACCCTTTATGTAAAATGAACTAACTGCACCACTAGCCAATGTGTTAGCATATGCATGACTTTTATTCCTTGCCTTAAAACGGCTTGGAGGCCTGTTGTTTGTTCTTTGTGGTAAAGATTAGGATTACTATCAAAGCTTAAGTCTTAAAGATCAATCAGATGCACATTATAATGAGTACATATCCCATGTTATATCCACAAATAGATGATAGAACACGTGAACAACTGTGATATTGTGGTGCATATAGGGAAATGTAGTTGGTGTTATTTTTCTTCACTACTTTAATCGCGTTTTTTCTCTTAATGGTTATTTTAGATTCTAGTTTTTGTAAGTTTGAGAACTTTCAGAAACACTTATGATTATATGATGACTTACTGTTACTTTCTTCTCATTGTTAATGTATCTATATCTCTGTTTATAGAGCTGCTAAAATTATTGTCATGGGATGTAAAGAGGCAGTTATAGTCTTGGTAGGAGGAAATGTGTTTGTTATTTTATTGTTTAAAAATGATGTGATCATAAGATATGTATGCAATGTACTGACATGGTGAGAGTGCTTTATTTATTCCCCTTTACATTACTGTGTACGCATGTTATCTTCAAAAGTGAATGTCCCGGTATTCTAATCAGAGCTGGAGATTTTGGGAAGGGAAGCTTTGTACATTATTAGCATTTGTTTTTTCTCTTATGCAATTGAGTGGACACTGTTTCGGTGTGTCAAAGTTTTGTAACTTTTGACTCAATTGAGTCAGTGGAATGGGAATCAGTTTTAGAACCTGATCTTCACATTCAAATTGAATGTGTTGTTTTTGTTTTCTTTGTTCCGCTTGACAAAAAAAAAATGTGCACATATGCATATATGATATACATATGTTAATCATATTTCCCCACCCCATTAAAATGTAGATCTTAAAGTACCTTTAACATGCAGTCTTTGATTAATCTTGTTTGTGCATATATATACTTTTATTGAACATTCTCACACCGTAACAATTGTCTGTTGGACACAGATGCATTCCTGAGTGTTGATTTTAATCCTTCAAGCAAGCAGAATATCATTGTTCTGATAGTAAAACAATTGTATGTTTCTCACATTTAAAAAAATGTTTCATACATCTTGCTTGGCCCAGTCAAAATGGTGTTCCTTTATTTCAGGCTTCTTTAGCGCTTTAAATGTGCACCTTCTTACATACCTGTCATAGCTTAAAGTCACTTTGTTTTTGGATATACAACTTAAATGAATAATGTTACATTCCTCCTTAAGACAGAGAAATCGTATTGTTTAAAAGACAAATACACATCTTTCTTACTTTTCTTATCCGCTTTAAAGTAGAGCTAATTTAGTTGAATGGAATGTACCGCAATGTCATTATTTGACTTTTATTTTGATATTTTTGTAACTGCATCAATTCTAAAACTCAATCCACTTCCAGAATAAGCAAGTGAACCAGTTTTATTTTTATTAGGGGACTGATTTTCTGAGATGGATGGGTTATATCTCATTACTTTAAAGTCTCCATCTGTAGCGTGTTTCACAAACCACTATACTTCTGTTTTTACGCAACTTGTTTGTTGTCTGTGATTTCCTTAACATCAACGAGTATCCCGTCATTCTTAAAATTATTGCATTTTTTGCTTAACTCAAAAGTTATCCATTCTTCATCTGGAATATCTTATTAACCCAAGAGATGTTTTTGTCATGGAAAGTCTGGAAACATTTGTGGCAAATTGAAAATGCATGAAAGGAAACATAAAGTTTCATTGAGTTATGACATTTAACTACATACGGTTGCAAACTGTGCTCTGAGTCAGAGGACAGGGAGAAATTTGTATATCAGGGCTTTGTTCAGAAAAATCTGACTGACCACATTTCAAGATGGCTTTTCATGGGTAATCAAGTCGGGGGGGGGGGGGGGGGGGGGTCGGAAAGGCAATTATGGACTGTGGGACAGATTACTTATTTGTTGCTTTGGCTTATGGTAATGTTGACACAAGATCAACCACACAGTCAGATATTCTACAAGATCCTGAAAGACTTGTATGTTATCCCCTGGTTGTGTTGTGCTACTAAAGCTGCTATATACTTCTTATGCCAATGCAGTACTGACTGTCAAGATTTTCTAAAAGCTGTATGTGCAACAATCAACAACAGTCCTTTTCATGATTATAGTGTTAATCAAACTGTGAACTTAATCTAGGAAGGGATGCTTTGAATTGTTTACTTATCAATCAGGACTAGAAGAAGCACAATCAACAAAGTTTTAGGAATTAATTCGTGAGACAAGAGCTGTATGCCTAAACCAAACACAACTGATCCGAAAACAGCAGTAAACAGAAAGAAAATAATAAACCGAAAACTGGCCTAACCGAAGAAAGTCCCTCGGATTTCAGTTTAAGAGGAATCCCCTGTATCTTATTATGTCCTTGATACTCTGTAGTTTGATGTGTGTGTGTGTGGCTTTATTGAACTTGCAATTCAATGCTCGAGTCTAGTCAGTAGGATGACAGCTACATCTACCATTTTATGGTGCTGCCGCAGCTGCACCTGCGCTTACTGGGTAAGAGAGGTTCATTTAGAGGGTATTCCCTTTGAGATTATGTGACTATTGTCTGATTGTGGAGCAAAACTTCTTGCTTTGTACCTGGTATTTGACTTTTTTTTTAGAGGGGGGGGGGGAGAGGCTTGTATAGGCTATAAGTAGCCTTAGTGTGCTAGCCAACACCCCCCCCCTCCCCCGCTTATTGGGGCTATTTGTAGCCTGATCATCACTGCCCACTACCCACCCCCTTATTTGGGCCCACATAACCAAACATTCCTCACACTGGAACAGAAAAAACGGATAGATTTCAACTCTATCTGCTGTCTTAATCTAGATCTTTTAGCCTCATAGCTTCGCTGTCACCAAGAAGAATCTAGGCTCACTGAATGCTAAATGCAACATACATCCAACAAATCACATAGGCCTACATATAGATCTAAAATTATTTATCCAGTTAACAAAAATTCACAAGCTTTCTTTAGTCTGTTTTCCAGAATATCGATTAAAGTTTATAATTTATACACTGGTATACTATCGTTGAGCGCAGAGACAAAACTGAACTGAATGAGAAAGATGCAGAACTGGGAAAGCAAAGTCTTCAGTTACTTGAATTATAGCAACAAGAAACGAGTAGCCCAGTTAAGGGAGGTGTGGTTTGCTTATTCGTGCTACGCTAAATGTATCCCGAATGGGCACTTCCTTTCTTTCTTTTTTTTTTTTCGCATTTCAAAGTAGTGGTGCTGATGTTTATTTTTCAGAGACATAATCGTCTGTAAACATACTCTAACATGTGAACCTTTTTTCACAATAATTTTTACATCTTAGTCAGTATTATACATCTCTTTCCAGCTGTCTCGTGTTGATCAGGTAGTATGAAATAGTCTGGTTTTCCATGGTCTCATCCCATGGGTATTGGTACAATTAAGATTGGGACAACATTCAGGATTCAAGTATCATTTAAAAGTACCATATTAATTCACTATCCATATTCTCATTTGTGATTCTTAATTTTTCCCAGCACCTAGTTAGTGGACCTTTGTTGTGTCAATGTATTTCTCTTTTTCCCAAGCAAGCATGTGATCTTCGTCATTTATCTGTCTGTCGTCATCTCACTGTCTCTCCCCTAAAAGTGCATGTGTGCACACTGTCGTCCTCCATGTGAACTTTCAATATGTTCAAACGCAATGTTTACCTGAGCACATGCATACGCAATATACTCAATGGGTAACACTTATGTTATCATGGCTTTCTGAGTGATATTCTGCTTTTGTTAACTTTCCCTTTGTCCCGTATTATAAGCTTTAAAACATTTTGTAACTGTTGCGTTTTTTTTCCTCTCAGATGTTTTGTCTTGATACCCTGAGAGACAAAGTATCTACGTTTCTCTTTCTTCCCCCTTCATAAGCACAGACATCTGCTTTGGTTCCCTTTTTATTTTTTCTTAGCAACACAACGTATGTGTATTGGTTTGTTTATGACACCTACTTCAGCTGTGTCCATTGTTGTTTTATTTGTCTCAACAACTATCGAGCCGAACTACACTTGAGAGCCCCCCACTACTCCTTTTCTGGTGGACTTTTGGGAATTACAATTGTTTGTATCTTTGGTCCTGTGACGTGCAGACTTTGTCTCTCTCTGTCCTAGATATATGCATGTTCTTTTCAGTTGGCTGATACCCTGTTGTGGGACAAGAATCGAACCTGAGACTGATAACGTGCAAATGACCATGAACAGCAAGGGAGCACCTGCATTTTAATCTCCTTGTTCTCTTTCCTTGTTTTTATGCAAAGCAGGTCTTGCCAGTGCTGTTTGCAGCTAACTGCATGTCATGATTTTATTAATTCTGTTACAGCTTTACTTGATCATGTCACATAATGCTAACTATAGTGGTACTAAATACAAGCTTTAATAGTTATCTTATCCTGTCCCTTTTATACTGCATCTTATCTATATTGCAGTTTGAAATTCTGATTCAGACATCAAAGTTTTCTCTTATTTAATATGAAAGCAGAAACTTTGCTGAAACAGATGTCATTTTTAAGACATGGGTTTTTTGTCTCTGATCATGGCTTTCTGCCCTTGACCCTAAAGTATCCATTTAGCTTCCAAGCATGTTTTCGCTATGAAAGTTTGAAAATTGTAAAGAATATTAATTGATAGCCCAAAATGTATATTTTACAGTCATTTGGAATGAGACTTTATTCGTTTCAGCATACATTGTGGACCTTATTTCTCTCTAATACACATATACATTAATAGCCTGTACTTTTCAAGGATTTGAGTTGTCTACAAATTTATGTTACTGTAGTTACTTTACATTTTGGTTTGGGTTATTTCTTTGGCTGTCGTTCATTTGCATTTATTGTACATGTACCTCAAAGTGTTAACATCATGCCCTGCTGTGTAGGAATGTTTACAATAATTAGTCATGCTCCACTTCAATGAAATAAAGATTTTTAAGTCACCAAATTTGGGAAATTTCTGGTATTTAATTCTCTTGTTTATAATGTTAATTTAAGGTTGTTTTTCTTAATTCTGTGTGAGTATGAGTATGAGAAACCCTATAAGCGTGGGTACAGGTTGTGCAACTGCAGTACAACTATTGTAGCTCTCTGCACAGTTAGATTAGGTTAGGGGCTGCTCCATGAGATGTTTCATATTTTGCCGTCAGTAATATATTGTCAATATTGTTTCCATGGTTTTTCATTGACCGCAATTGTTGCCAATAATAGACTTTTTAATGGAGGTCAGTATATAGTGTCATGTTGGATCCTACAGGCCCGCTAATCACACCAGAGTGCACTACCTTACCCTTCAACACATCAAACACACACTTTATTTAGTAGTTGTTGGTGAGTGCTCTGTGTGGTTTGCTCCTTCTTCCCTGTCAAACAACCATCGTCCTTATCTCTCCTGCTTCTTTTTTAAGTTTTTTACTCTCTTGTAACATCTATGATCTTCAGCACTTCCATGACCTATTTGAATTGCTAGTGCCGTAAAACTTTCTATGACATAATATAAGCATTTCAGCGAGAAGTGTAAATCAATGAGTTTTATGCGAGGAGCAGTGGTGCAAGAGTCCTGTGGGCTGAGGTGGCCAGGGCCCTTGTGGTTTATGTGTTAGTACTAACATGTACAGACATACTCCCTCAACTTGAACAACACACAGCACTGAATTCCAGCCAGCCATGAAGGGGACACGATACCTCAACACCCTTTTATTAAAAATTGTTATTAGATTACTGAGAAGTCGGAAGAGAGATGGGGCTCTCGTGGTCTAGAAGCACAGTGTTTACCTCTCATCCAATAGGTCCCGGGTTCAAAACCTGACAGCGACGGAAAATTTTACATTTCTAATATTTTTTCCTTTCACCTCCTTTCCTGCTCTTATCATGTTCTGTCATCTGCTTTCATCGCTACTTTCTGCCCCCTCCCCTCAGCCCGCGCCTAACCTAAGGTTACCGGGCCATAGAAACTCACGTCTCACACCTAATGCCTCATGCCTCACAGCCCACTGGGCCATAAGAACTCCTGCTTTACGCCTCACACTCACACACTAGTCTGTGTGGTGCATCCAAGAAGAAATAATCTGACGAAGAAGATTTGCTGATTTTGTTGTTTCTCAGAAGAAGGAAGCGGAAGAGATGGAGCATAATAATATTAATAGAAAAGTGCTGGGAGCATTTTTTGCTCTGAGACTTCGGAGTAGAATTTCACCGGACATTCCAGCATCTTGAGGACAATCCTGATGAAGAACTCTTTTACAGTCAGCATCTTGGAAGGGTTTTCCCAAACTTGTGCCCTTTGATCTTTGTCTTTGTAGTCAGGATCACGTGGGTTCCAGAGCAGAGGCCTTTCTCGGACTAACTCCATTAATATTTCTTTGTAATCATCCATCCTGATGAGAAAATAAAAATTGCGCTCTGTTGACAATGGAATCTGGCCCTCGTCCAGCTCTACCATGGGGGGGGGGGGGGGGGACACATTGATATCCAGTCTGCTCCCGACTCGAGCCTCGAAAAAAATTGAACATGTTCACTTCTAGGCTCACGCGTGAACCGTGACCTGTGAGAAGTGTGAGGCGTGAGCGGGGGTCTATGGACTCTGACCGTCTAGTCTATGGCCCATCGCCAGTAGGATTGCGCCAGTTCATTATTCCACTCACACGTTTGGGCGTGAGGCATGCGCGTGAGACGTGAGTTTCTATGGCCTGGAAGCCTTAGGAAGGTAAGATCGAATACCTTGCCTTCTCGGATAAGGGCGTAAAAACTTCGAGTCTCGAAAGTCCCGTGTACAAGTTGCGCACGTAAATTAAAGGTCCGATGGTGGTCCTAAAATCGTTAAGAGTAGGCTTCGGCTGCTACCCGGTCAAAATTCATAATTACTGCCTATCAAACTGAAAATGCTTTAAGTGTCCCGAGCTGATCGTATACAGTTGCAAGCGCCGTAAAGCACTTTCCAGAACAAACAGTCCGGAAAGAGACACTGTGGGGGAAAAAAACTTCGGCCAAGAACGTGATCACCCGGCGTCGTCAGAACGAGGAAGGCAGTTGTTTTATTATTTTGCACAGCTGAACTTACAACCACCGCCCACCACAGAAGGCCACAAATAAAAGCAAAAATAACCACAGATCCTTACTGATAATAATAAGAAACCCGATCATTGAAGAGCCGACTCTGTTTTCCCCAAGGAGGTTATACACATAAACCTTCTAAGGTCCTTGACTTTTCCACATTGCACAATATGGTGCTTGGGCAATACAGATTGCCAATTACGTCATTATCAATGTCTCTGCTCCATTTGGTGCTTACGTTTACGATAGTTTCAAAGATATTATAAATATTTTAAGGTCCTTGGGAAATGTGTACACAAGACCATCTGCTGTCTTCTGGACGGAAATATATCATGTCATCGCCCTTGCACAGAATGTTTGCGGGAGTTTGCTTCTTAAAATTATTGTCTCTTGGACTAATTGACATAAACTTGTCATTCTGAACCCCAAACCCCACACCTAATTTAACCCTTTTGGAATTTGTAGAGTAGGCCTTAGAATAATCATGATGAAAATAAGAAATAAAATTCTCCCTGAAATAGCCCAAGAACATTGTGAATTTATTGGGAGGCAAAGGCACTGTAAATTCCAATATATTATCAGAACAACAATAGAACGTCCCCTGGAAGTTCAGAAAGATCTTCAGTTATGCTTTATAGACTACACCAAGGCATTCGACAAAGTTAGACACGACAAAATCATCAATGCTAGAAGTCCTCATATTGACGGGAAGGAATTAAGAATGATCAAGAACATGAACTGGGATCAAACCGCTGCAATAAGAATAGAAAACGACATCAGCGAATACATACAGATTAAAAGAGGGGTCGGACAGGGATGTGTACTTTCACCAGACTTGTTCTCCCTGTAGGCCTATGGTGAAAATATGAGACACATAGACGAAATGCTAGGTATCTCGATAGGGGGACATAACGTAAACAATCGAAGATATGCAGACGACACAGTCCTAATAGCAGAAGATGAAGAACACCTACAGAATATATTACATGTCATCGTACAAGAGAGTGACACCATGGGCCTAAGCCTAAACATCAAGAAAACTGAAACAATGGTGATAAGCAGAAAAACTCCAAATCCCAACCTGCAATATATATCAAAATCAATGGTACCGGGTACCATCCTCAAGCAAGTATCTGGGGACCATTATATTATCAAATGGGAGATGTCACACCCAATTTAAAAGCTGCATTTGCCAAGCAAAATCATGTCACTAGAAACAAGAAAAAGAGTACTGAAAAGTTACATCGAGCCAATACTATTATACGGGTACGAAGCATGGACAATTAATAGACAGCTGGAAAGAACAATTAGGCGACAGAGTTGTGGTAGATAAGACGCATGCTGCATATCCCATGGACAGCTAGAAAAGCAAATGAAGAAGTCTTGGTTGAAGCAAACTGCAGACGACAAATATACATGTACGCAAGCGACAGGCAAATTTCTTTGGACACACAATGCGGATAGAAGCATTGGAGAATAGTGTAACAACAGGCAAGTTTGATGGAAAGAGAGGCAGAGGCAGACAGAAGAAAAAAATACTGGACAAGTTAACAACATGACTGGGAACAGCAAGAACAGCAGACACCATGAATGCAACGCAGGATAGAGGGAAGTGGATGTCCATGATCGCCCACGCCAGTCGGCAAGGCACCGGATGATGATGAGAGTAGGCCTACGCCAGGCCCTCAGGATAAAGCTTAAATAGTCCATGGTTAGGACAGTGCAGAGATTATATGATTTTTGAAATCGAGAATAAAACTGTTCACTTAGTACCATTACGTACAAGCACAAGGAAATCGGACAAAATGGAACAATACGTGTAGAAATGATTATATAGATATCTAGGCCTACAATTATTTCTATGATTAGGACACTCTAACGACTGATAATTCTACGCTCCATGTAAACGCTCATTGCCTGCAGAGTCTACATGCTCTTCCATGTACATACAATGAATATATACGAGTATATACATAT